TAGGTCCATAAAAGGCTATTAGCCAGGGGATAAAATGGTGTCCTTGGCCTCTGTTTGTCAGAGGCTGGAGAGGGATGGCAGGAGACAAATCACTTGATCATTGTCTTCGGTCCACCCTCTCTGGGGCACCTGGTGCTGGCCACTGTCGGTAGACAGGATACTGGGCTAGAAGGACCTTTGGTCTGACCCACTATGGCCGTTCTTATGTTTAAGTCTGATTATCTCTGACAATCTCCCATCATTTACAATTAAAACAAATGTCAGAAAGAGTATTAAGAAAAATAGTACTTACTTTTCCTGACTGCAACCTCTGTATTCTTGAATCACATACTTTAATAACATATAATAAGCTGTTTATTTGATTTTTTATAGTATTAATATCTGAAAACAAAACATCACAAAAACTAAGAGTAAAGAAGCGTGAAGTAGAAACAAACTAGTGATTGAACAACTGACTTTATATTATCAATTTTAGCACAAAGATCACTTTGTTTTTTCCTGTTCTTTCTCTAAGGATACCTACCAAAATGCATATCACTGTCAATATCTACAGAGAAGCTGATGGTGTTCCTCCCCTCCCCCCAAGTTAAACTACAACAGGGGTCAAAAACTCCCAGCCTGCATGCCAATCCCAGCCAGAGCGACTGCACAATCTGGCCCAAGCAGTCCATTACTAGCCCCCATGCCCAGCCCCTTCTGGTCATTTCTGCTCCTACTCTGTAGCACCTTGTCCCCTAAGCATGCAGCTTTTGGGGAACACCGTCAGGGCCTAGCACCACATGGCAGCAGCAGTTATGTCTCCTGCACTTCCCCACGAAGGGGAAGCAGAGCACAGTGGAGCGAGACCAGCTGTCCAATGTGATTCGCTTTACGCATAGCTCCTGCCGCTGCAGGGAGTGCACAGAGATGCAACCACTGCTGCTGAATGGTGCCAGGACCTCCAGTATTCCTAAAGCGGTATGCTCAGGGGACAAAGTGTCATTGGGGAAGAGGGTGAGACAATGGTGGGAAGAGGCTGGGTTTGGGGTCCAGTAATGGACAGGATGCGCCCACCCATGGAGTGCACAGATTGATTTTTTTAATACTAATATCGAAAATAAAACATCACAAGACCTAAGAGTAAAGAATACTGAAGACACACCCAGGAGATTGAGACCTCATGAACTAGAAGAACTAAATTGCAGATAAGTCTCTTTCTTCCCTCATCATTATAAGTTTCAATTAGTATTTAAAACGTTGAGAATAATCCATCATAAATAGATGAAGTACTACGGAAAAATCAGAACCAGTCAGACAGGTCTCAACCAAGACACATGATTTTTATTAAAAGATTAATTTTATTAGAACAAAGCCTACCAAGACACAAATACTATTAGAATACATGATAATGGCCACCACAGAAAGGATGATAAAGTAAATTAGTCTTTAATACTGGACATCAGAAAAAAAAAAACCTCGGGTTTAAATCACATAACCTTTATAACTGCACTAGTAACAACACTATTTTGTAAGGTCAGACTTCACATTCTTACAATCTTCTTGTAATTAAAATAAACATTTTTTGCTGTTAACTTTTGCTTATTTTATTTCTTAATAAAAATAAAAATACTAACCATCTCCTGCTGTATCTAAGGATCGAAGATATTGAAGTTCTTCTCCAGCTTTATCTCTTACCGCTTCCAGCTCCCCTGCATTGTCACTTAATTTAAGAACATTCATGAAGGCCTCATAGTTACAATTGGAATCACGAATCTGAAAGTCAGAAAGTGTACAACCCAAATTATGCAGAAGAGAAAAATCTATGGCTGCTTCATGGTAAACCGGAATCAAACAATTAAAGGAAATTTTTAATTTTAGCATATACTGTATAATGCCATCACTTTAAAAGCATCACAGTTTATAGCACCCATAAAATTCAAACTGCTTTCTTGGGACTGTACCGTCTATGGATAAATAAATCCTTGAGTCAGTTTAAACTTTTAAACTTAGTTTTCAATTAGGAAATTCTATTTGAACCTGAACATTTTTGTAATTAAAAGCTAATATTTAAAGAAACTGTAGGAAGTCTTTATTCATAAAAAACAAAGACCAGATTGTGGGGGCCCACAATAACTGCATGTCTGCCATATTTAAAGCATTAAATTTTGCTTACATTTTGCTGTCACATACAGATCCATGCTTATGTGTTTGGAATTGTAGTTCCTGGCATCAAGAATGATATAAAGACCCCGTAGCATTCAATGAAAAAAGTTCAGAACTGTAACAGAGTGTGGATGTGTACAACTGCTTATTAAGACAGGAATGGTCTCAGATATCCAAGACATATTTAACCGCAGAAGACACGAATTCTGAAAGTTTAAGAGTATAAGTTTATAATCCTCTTCTTGGATATTAAGGAGAGATACTTGAGATCTTGCAGTTCAGGGAGAGAGTAAGCTACCACATTTAAAAAATCTGGTAGCCTTTTCTCTGAAAGTCTCTTGAGCCCCCTCAATTTGCTTTGGAACAGGGACTTCCACTGTGTCAGGAACGTGCCTTTGATAGCATCTGTGAAAATCTGCCTAAATTTAACCAAGTAATAAGTCTTGAAAAATGGAAGTTTAAGCACAATCACTGGAGACAACTTGGATTTCAGCAACTAAATTTCCCAAAGGTTCTATCTACTCTGAATATTCTGTAGATGGAAGCAAAATAGGGCTTTCCCGGAAACTGCAGCTCTAAGTTACAATGCCAGGTCCAGGCATTTGAACTGAGTCTAGGAGTCATCTTCTCTCCTGTGCTATCAATGATCCCTCCCCGCTGGTTACATAATTAGAAAGTGGAGGGATCAAGAGCCAGACCAGCAGGACAATGAGGAGAATGGACTGAGACAAGGAGACAGAGGTGGAAAGGCAGAAACGGGAAGGGGAGTTCCGAGGGATATTACAGAGGTGAGATGCCTGAGGAGTGGCTAACCCTGAGATCTGGCCCATAGGCTATTTATTGCTACCTCTGGGTTGGGGAGAGCAAAAGAAGTTGAGCTTGGAGGGAATAGGCAGAAGAGCCCACATATTTCCCACCTAAGTCTAGAATGGAATCCAAGACTGTAGTTGGGGCTAAAGCTGAAAAAGTCATGGAGGTCATTAAACTCACCAAATCTAGTATCTCCATGATTAAATCATATGCTTACCTAAGATATTACACAAAATACAATATTAAAAGATTAAGTTGCAAAACCAAACACTGATAAGTTAGAATAGTGTTTCCCAAATGGATTTCCATGGAACCCCGGGGTTCCGCAAAGTAAAAATAAGGGTTCCGCAAGAAAATTCCATTACGACATTTTATGATTTAAAAAGTAATTAACATTATGTGATTTCTGTTTTTAAATATGTGCAATTAAACTAAATGTTGATCTCATGACCTTGTTTAGCATTTGTTAATTATTATCCTTACTTATTTGTGGTCTATTTTTTCAGCTCCACATACTAGACTGTTATTAGGGGTTCCGCAAAATACTTTCGAGTTTAAAAGGGTTCTGTGGCCAAATAAAATTGGGAAACATTGAGTCAGAAGATGCTAGAATCAGAAGGGTAGCCGTGTTAATCTGAATCTGCAGAAGTGATGAGGAGTCCTGTGGCACCTTATAGACTAACAGATTGATTGGAGCATAAGCTTTCGTGGTCAAAGACTCACTTTATGCATCTGACGAAGTGGGTCTTTGCCCATGAAAGCTTATGCTCCAATCAATCTGTTAGTCTATTCTTCTGAAGATGCAAGAAGGTTCACTATGCAACATTAATTTGGCCATCTTGCGTGTGTGCACATTATTAGTCTTCACTTGCATAACATTGTTTTTTTACAGTTCCTTTACATCATTCAGTGGCCAGAACAGAGCTTCTCTGGGAATGAATCATGAGTTCAAAGTGAAATCTGTTGGACCACTGACATAATTATTGCACAGGCTGGAAGGTATGCACTAACAGTGGATAGACCCCACCCAGAACTAAACACCTATCCATTTAATCAAGGTGTCAGGGCAGGACATAAGGGCAAGGAATTAGATGGAATGAAGCATGAGTGCATCTGCATGTTCTCTAAGTGCAATTCAAACAGACAGACCAGCTGGATGGCCTTCAGACTGCTCAGCTTGTATACGGGATAGGGGGGAACAAACAGCTCCAGTGGACCACAGGTGAGAGGGTAATGCCTTTCCACAGGAATTGCTCAAGAAAAGCAAGAGAAGAAGTGGAAAAGACTGCTTTCACATCTGAGCACAGAACAGGAAACATGAAGTGTAGTCAACCCTAGGCCCCGGTGAGTGCCATGGAACATATATAGTGGATGAAGCAGTGGTGCCCAGCCTCATTTCACAGGAGGACCATATAAGTCTACGAACCACCTTAGCAAACCTAAGTAAAACTATGTGGGTAAACAGATGCTATGTATTTTAGTAAATGTAAAGTCACTGGTAATTGATTTATATTTTAAGTTTAGCTTGTTTCATATATAGATAGATTATTGTACACAAACTATTTACACACTTGTGTAAACTAGAATGATGTAAACACTGACAAAAACTAATGAACTGGTCATTCACAGGCTGCGTTGAAGCAAGCTGTGAGCCTTATGAAACACTCTGGTGGATCACGAACAGTCTGCACATCATAGGCTGAGCAACCTTAAAATAAGGATGAAAGCAGAAAATGGGCAGTCCAGTGCTTATGGAAGTTGAATGCTGAATCCTTTGAGGAAAGGATTTTATCTCTGCCTCTGCCACAGAGTTCCTACGTGATACTGGTCAAATCACTTAAGCCAAACTTTTCGCAGTTTACATAAATATGCTGAACAACACTGATCTTAGTATAGATCCTTGGAGAATCATGCTATTTACCTCTTTCCAATGTGAAAACCAATCATTTACTCCTATCTTTTAGTTTCTATCTTTTAACCAGTTACAGACCCAGAAGATGATCTTCCCTCTTATTCCAAGATTTCTTAACTTGCTTAAGTATGAAGTGGTATAGCCATATTTATCTCAGAGTATTAGACACACGAGGTAGATGAGATATATCTTTTATCAATTTTTAATAAATTTTCTTAAGAGACTTTCATAAGAGACTTTGTTAAAGGCTTTATGAAAGTCAAGTATACTGTATCAACTAGACCGCACTTGTCCACATTTGTTGATACACTAATGAGTTCTTTTACACTGGTGAGGCATGATTTCACTTTAAAAAGGAGCAATACCTTTCTTGACTCTTCCCCAACATGTTGTTTTCATCTGTGTGTCTGATAATTCTGTTTTTTACTGTAGTTTCAAGCAATTTCCTAGTATTTAAGTTAGATTTACCAGACTATAATTGCATAAATCATCTCACTGGTACTTTAAAATCATTACATTAGCTATCTTCCAGTCAACTGGTATAGAGGCTGACTGAAACAAATTCAATACCATAATTAGTAGTTTGGCAATTTCATATTTGAGTAACTTCTAGTCCTGGTGACTTATTTCTGCTTATCAATTTGTAATGAAACTACCTTGAATGATAAATCAATCAGGAACAGTATCTCAGATATGTCACCAAAAAGAATGACTCATATGTGGAAATCTCCATCACATCCTTTGCAGTGAAGACTGATAGAAAGAATTATTAATTTAGCTGCTCTTCAATGACCTTGTCTTCCTTGAATGCTCCTTCAGCATCTCAATCATCCAGCAGCCCTACTGATGGTTTGGTAGACTTCCTGCTTTTAACATACTTAAACTGCTGTAAGTTTTTGTTTCATCTATCATTTGTAAAGCCCTTACTTTACTTCATTTGGACACATGCTATAAAAATCACTAATACTGTTGAATTCATCATTAGCATATTGTACTGTCTGTCTTCTATGTAAGGCTAAAACAATTCCCAAAATTCTTACAAATAGTTTGTCGTCAACTAAAATCTGTCACTCCATTAAAAATACATTGAGAACATTACAGCTGAAGTTAAACAAAAATCAGAAAACAAAAAGTATAAGGTTGCATATGCATTTTACCTCTGCACTTTTTTTGCACAGTTTAAGTGACATCTCTACTGTATGCTTTACGAACTGTGCAGCTTAAAACTTACAGTAGGATGCATATGTTCAAGTGCATGCTTCCTTAGCTGTGCATCATCATTAGGAAGGTGCAGGCGCAAAATATCATTTCAGAAATGTTATGTCTATTCCAACCTAAAACTACATTTTTGATGCAAGTCTCACAAGCTTTTTTCAATGAAGGCGGTTTCCATAAGAAATACTGACTACCTGTAGAACTAGACATCTAAAAGCACTTCAAGAATTTACTTTTAATTATTTTATAGTGAAGGCATTATACACAGACTTTCACTCAAACTTTTTAAGAAGCTCACCTGCAGGTAGAAAGTAAGCTTAGAAACTATCATAAAAAAAGAACAAAGTTTGAAAAGGTTACAAAGCCACCAAAGGAGTGATTTAAATTGGCAATTCTTAATGCAACATTAATGACACCATAACTAACACTTCTACTCTAATGATGTACTATTACAAACTGTATTTCCTATCAACCAGTTATGCTTAGAGAGCATAGGAAAAAAGAATAGGAATTTGCTTACAGATTATTTTGGAAATACTATCGAAACACACACAAAAAATTAAAAAAAAAAAAAATCTTACCATCCATATGACATACTGATTAATATAATCAGGATCACTGAGTTGGTTTATTAATGGAAGAAGAATTCCTCGAGCGAGGATTTCCTGAAAAATAAAATGTAACAATTGAAATATATTCTCTATATCTAATAAGTGAAAAAATGGCTTAACTCAAAAACTCGAATTTTACTATGAATTCATCCTAAAACTAATATTTGAGTAACAGACTTCAAGCAATCAACAAAAACAAATTCTGAAACAAAATATGAAAGATTAGATTTCTCAGAGTTCACTAACACACTAAAATTAGGTAAATTCTTAGGATACATACAAAATGTTAGCTCCCACAGCCTGCTGTGCGCCCAGTACTCAAACTAGGCATCTGACCTGAAGAAAGACAGCCTAGGTAACACAGTAATAGAAAACTCTGAGAAATACTCATCAACATAAGATTTTAAGAATGTTTTTATTAGTTCAATTTTTCTATGGTCACCACTGTATTGTCGATTTGTAGTCTGTTTCCCATTGCTTAGTCCTGGCTCATACCGCCCCTGGAAGCTAACCCCACTGCAGCTCTGAAGTTTAAATGCAGTAGCAGTCTTAAACTACAGAGCTGCAGTGGGGGTAACGAGTGCCGAGTCTTAAACTACAGAGCTGCAGTAGGGGTAGCGAGTGCCCCATGTCTTATCGACTAATCAAGTAATCAGTGGAAATTCCATTGACTACTCAATTAGCTAATTAATCGCAATTTACCATCCCTATCATGTACATAAAATAAGTGACCTAAATCTAGATTTCTTTTATTAATATATATATATGACTTGAAATTGTAGGATGAAATATAAATTCTAAACTTACCCTGACAAAGTATCGCATGATCTTGTTCTGGAAGTCTCCAGGAGGTAGCAATAAATACAGTAACACCTCACACAGATCCCTTAGGAATCCTAGGGAAAAACAACAACAAAATATCAATCTAATATAGCGTAGTGACAACACTACATGTTCCTTCCTGTTATTCTCAGGTAACAAAAAAGCTTCCGTTTATGGACTGAATTTGAAATCAAATATACTTTTCAATGATGATCATACTTTGTAAGTTTTATTTTTCTACTTTATATAAACATATGTAACTGTCTTTAAACCTTACAGTGCAGTAATTCCAAACTGATCTAACCTACACAATAAATTACATCACTGACATTCTATATGTTGACTAGAATGGGTGAATGTGTTGTCTTAACTCTTGTAAAAACAATTGACCTCTAATGCATTTTTTCATATTTATGCAGAAAGCGCTTCAGGGACTTTTTCAAAACAGTTTTTGGTTATAAAAGGCAAGCTAGTTGGAAACTGCAACTTTTTAACGGAAACTGATTCATTCATATGCTGGACCTGAGAAACTTTCTAATAAAAGTTTAGGAAAGACCCATCCCAAAACAGCTAATCATCTAGTGGTCAGGGCACTCATGTGGGATACCCCGATTTGAATCCCTGCTCTGCATCAAAACAAATATATGAATCTGGAAGTGAATTCCTGGCTGCAAAGATGGTGACACCAAAAGACTTCCTTGACCACAGGATGCATCCTGAGAAGGACTGCTAAGCAGAGATGGGATCCACCTATCAAGGAAGGGGAAGAACATATTTGGATATAGACTAGGTGACTTGGTGAGGTGGGTTTTAAACTAGGTTTGATGGGGACAGGTGACAAAAGCCCACAGGTAAGGGTTAAATCTGTATGAGGACTACTTATTTTTACTCATCATACCTAGATCAGAGGACTCCAAAGTGTGAGGTATGCCCTCAAGGGGGCCATGGAGGAAAGTCTAGGGGAGTGCAGCAGGGGGAAGGAAGGGAGCACCATCCAGCACTTCTCCAGCTCTGCTCTGATCTTCTGTGGTCCTAATCCTAACTGCTTTCCCAGCTCACAGCCCTGTGCCTGACCCCATCCAAAGCCTCAGCACAGTTCTGCTCCTGGCCCAGTGCCAGCACCCAGCCTCAGCCATCGGACACACTTCTATTACAAACTCAGGCTGAGGCTGGGGGTCAAGCCAGGCACAGAGCCATGCAAGACCATGGACCTGGCTGCCAGCTCCCACCTCAGGCCATGCCCATAGCTTTGGCCCTGCTCCCAGCACCAAACCCACCCCCAGTTGTGGTCCCTAACCCACCTCATAGATGTAGCTCCCTTGCTATCTCACACACACACACACACACACACACACAGTTCTGACTTAGAAAGAACTTCTATAAGGTGGGTGAATAACGTGTTGGAAAACTATTCTCAAAGAGTAGTTATCACTGGTTCACGGCCAAACTGGAAGGATATATCAAGCTGAGTCTGGCAAGGATCAGTTCTGTTCAACAACTTCATCAGTGATTTATATAATGTCATAAAGAGTACAAAGTTTGTGGAAGATATGAAGTTGCTTTGGAGGGCAGGATTAAAATTCAAAGTTATCTGAAGAAACTGGAGAAATGGTCTGACGTAAAGAGGATGAAATTAAGTAAGGACAAATGCAAAGTACTCCAGTTCAGGAGCAAACAATGACACACATACAAAATAGGAAATGAGTGCCTAGTAAGAGTAAAGGGGTTTATAGTGGATTATATATTAAATAGAAATTAGTATTTTACTGTTGCAAAATAAGAAAACATTCTAGGAATAAGCAAGACACAAAAAATAATTATTCTACTCTATTCCATGCTGATTAGGCCTCAGATGGAGTATCATGTCCAGTTCCAGGTGCCACATTTCAAGAAATATGTGGAGAAACTGAAGAAAGACCAGAGAAGAGCAACAAAAATGATTAAAGGTCTCAAAAAATACAACCTGAAGGAAGATTGAAAAAACTGGGCTTATTCAGCCTGGAGAAAACTGAGGGGAAAACAGTTTTCAAGTACCTAAAAGAATGTTACAAGGAGCAGAGAGAATATTATTTTCCTTAATCTTTGATGATAGGACAAGAAGCAATGAGCTTAAACTGCAGCAAGGGCAGTTTAGGAAAAGTTTCTCAATTGTCAGAGTAGGTAAGCATTGGAATACATTGTCTGTGGAGGTTGTGGGATCTCCATTATTGTCTAACCTGTTCTTAAAACTTTCCAGACACCTATCATGGATGGCCTAGATCACTGGTGGTCAATCTGGAGCCCGAGAGCCACATGCAGCCCATCGGACTCCAGTGTGTGGCCCATAAGACATTTTGTTTGCTGTTGCCCATATGATATGGGCAACAGCAAACAAAATCTGGGTTGCCAGATTACTCTGTTTTCCTTCCATGTAGTTTTTTCCTACCAGTATTACTAATGTAACACACATTTAAAGCAAGGGCACAGGAAGTGCAGTGCATGCTGACAGCACACAAAATTTAATGAGAGAGCCATGCATTTCCTGTACATCCCAAGTGCTACTATGGTTCAGTTGGCACATCCCACAGATTCTAGATAGGAAAGCGCAGTTAATAAATCTACGCTATCCCTCACAAACCTACATTCATGTAGCTACATTCATGTAGCTCCCTCACAAACCTAGACTATACCTCACTAGTCTAAATAACACTTAGTCCTGCCATGAGTACAGGGCACTGGACTAGATGATCACTTCAAAGTCCCTTCCTCTACTATGATGCTAGGATTCCTAGAACCGAAAAGTGCCCTAATCAATAGGCTACACAATTAGTCCCTCTTTCATTCTAACCCAATGAATAATTTATTCAGAAGATGGTTCCAACCAGAAAAAGCCTCACCCCACTCTCCAGAAAAAGCAAAAAGCATGGCATTTAGGGTATTCACGTGGGAGACCCAGATTCAGCTCCCTAATGTGAATCAGGCAGTAACTAATATTAATGGGATACATTTTCTTTTAACTATTATTGATTTTTATTTTTTTAAACAAAACAGATCCTTCTTTCTTCATCCAGATGGTCTGATGTTAGATGTAAAATTAACTAGTTTCTCCATCCTCATACCACCTATAAAGGGATACCATGAATTTGAAAAAAAGTCACATTTCCACCCAAAGTTCTTTTAGTGCTCATCGCATATTGTCATTGCCCCTAAAAATATAATACTGATATTTACTGATCAAGACATATATGAAATACTATGTCATAACTTGTTGCAATAAAATTATTGGTTTGGCTCTGAATTTCTTCCATGTTATTGACTGATGCTGTAATTAACATTTCTAGTGTAACTTAAGGCAGCAACACAACTCTTAGAAAATAAAGATTAGAAAAACCTTCTTCATCTTTGGGAGAAGTGCAGACTAGATCACGACAGACCTCCTTCTCCATTTCAACTTCAACCTCAAAGAATGTATCTACAAGGTCTTCTGCTGTACCAACACAAAAGACATTATAAGATATTTGTGTATATGAAAGACTCTTTTGTATGTCACTAGTAAATTGAATACAAATAAAAAATTGTTTTGATTAAATGAAGAATAGAGAAATTTGCTATACAAGGTCAACCACAAAAAGTTAAATGTATTTTAAATTATAGTAGTACCTGTCATTTGATCATCTTTTTCGGTTATCCTTTGTTGAGCTTTTCTGAATACTCGAAGATGAGTGGCAAAATCATCAACAAGCCGAGTGGTGAAATAAGGCTGCCAGTCTATTTCTTTCGACCTTATAGAAAACAGATTGTACTTCAACAAAAATGTAAACAGTAGTTATCTAGTATCAGAGGGGTAGCCGTGTTAGTCTGAATCTACAAAAGCGGCGAGGAGTCCTGTGGCACCTTATAGACTAACTGAAGTGTAGGAGCATAAGCTTTCGTGGGCAAAGACCCACTTCGTCAGATGCATCTGACGAACTGGGTCTTTGCCCACGAAAGCGCATCTGACGAAGTGGGTCTTTGCCCACGAAAGCTTATGCTCCTACACTTCAGTTAGTCTATAAGGTACCACAGGACTCCTCACCAGTAGTTATCTAAGGACTCAAAAATTATAATTTAGTTATCATATTTCCAAAAGCCTGTACAGCTTCTGTATGAATCAGCAACAATATGGTCCTTCTGTAGCTTATGATCTTTGGGGTGTCAACAGAAGGCTAGACAAAAAAAAGAGCTTTTGACAGACAAACACATTTCCATGTTTAGATTGATTGTTTCTACAGCACTAGAAACCTTGACACCAACAAAAACTACACACATGGAGGACAAGGAAAAGTTTAAATGATGCATCATTTCTTATATACTATACGTGAATTTACATAGCAATATACTGTTGTATATTTACAACAGTACTTTCAACATTTGCCTGAAAGCATTAAAACGAGCCTATTTGCGTTTTTCATGAATTGTACTAAGCATAAAAAAACCCAAAGGTCTAATATTTGTACTGACCCAATATAATACCAAGAGACCTCTCAGATAGATTTGACATTACTTGTGGGAAAATATGTAGCCAAATTATTTTATTCACACATCTTTCAGTATGTAATCATATTAGAAAAAATCACATTAGCTATAAGCAAGTGCAATATTATACACAAGAAATCGTTTAAAAAAATGACATGAACTGAAAGGGAGTCAGTTATATTGATGACATTATACATTTGGTAAAATAGCAGCCACCATTTTGTGATATTTATGCATCAGCATTTCATTAGTGCTCTTTGGGAAAGAACATGTTCTAAATGCGTAAACTGGTGGGTGTTCTTCATTTTTTATTTTAGTAAAACAGAAGGCAGGTAATCACAGCTCCTTTCCCCTTGCTGCATATTCCATGTTTAGGTTCTTAACTGGAAGAACAGGAGTAAACTCTGATATCTATTCTGCCCAAAATGGTCCCACTACAATATGCTTAAGTAAAACCACCTTGATTTCTGAACAGCTTTCCTTCCAAAATAGGCTTTAGAAAAGGATGTGCCTACAGCAAAGTGTAGTCTAGAAGTATGATCGGGGAGGAGGGAGATAAACATAAAATATTACACCTTGAAGAGTAACAAAAAAAAAACCTATGATCTGGTAGCCTAGTGGTCACCAACCCTTCAATCACAATCAACTGGTAGATCCTGGAGCCTCTGCCAGCCAAATACGATTCTCAGGTAAGTTGTTTCTTCCTGGCCTCACGCTGCTCCTGGAAGCAGACAGCTGGCTGAGTGCAGACATTGAGTGCAGGCTTGTCCCTGCAGTCCTTAGGAAGGGCAATGAGGCTGCTCTGTGCTGTCCCCACCCCCAGTGCGGTCCAAGCAGCTCCCATTTGCAGGGAACCGACCAAAGGGTGTTGCACTTGCGGGAGAAGACTGTGGTGCAGCACATGGAGACTCTTACCCCATCCTACTCCTCCCACAACAGAAGTGAACACAGAGGGTGCCTGCACTCAGACAGCCAGCGTTTCCAGGAGCAGTGAGGAGCCAGGCAGAAGCAGCTTCCTTGAGCCACACTTCACTGCCAATGAAGACCCATCAGTGGTAAGTGGCCCCAGCTGCAGCTTGTATCTTAACCCTTTGTGCCAACCCTGAGCTTACACCCAAACTCCCTCCCAGAAGCCATGTTCCTCACACTGGCCTGCACCCAACACTCTGATCCAGCCTGGAGCCCCATTCTGCACCCAAACTCACTTACAGAGTCCACATCCCTCACCACCTCCTGCACTCCACGCTTCCCCAGACTAGAGCCCCTTCCTGCTCTCCTGACAACAGGAAGCTTGGTCCTTCCATGGACAGGGGTTACTGCTGCAGAACAGCCTCTGTCCGTGGCGAGCCCAGGCTTGCAAAAGCCTCCTCTGTACCCCGCAACCCCCACTGCTGCCTCAGAGAGACAGCAGTGGGGAAGAGGAGAGGAGACAGGTTTTTAAGCTGGTTCTCCCCAGCACCGGCTCCTGCCTAACTCCATCCTGCTGCCTCTGTAGCAGACAGTCCACAGAGCAGGCACACACAGGGAGCCTTGCTTGAAAACAGGTTCCCCGTGCATACTGGCTTCCGCCTGTAGTGATTTACACTATCCCAGAGCCTGTACTCCTCACTCTCTACTGTGCCTCAGCCTGGCACCTGTACCTTTTGTCCCTTTATACACCTCAAGCTCTGCCCCAGCCAGATGAAACTGAGTTGATGGTAGGGAAGAAAAGGGGGGGGGGGCTGGAGTGAGCATGGCTTTGAGAAACAGGCAAGGTAGATCCTGGAATGCCCTTAAATTCAAAATGTGATCTAAGCCGTATAAAGGTTGAAGACCACTGTGGTAGCCAAATTGTTCACTTGTAGCAAGAACATTAAAATCACACAGAAGAACACAAGTTGTCAGCCTCATAATTCCTCTGACAAGCATCTCCCAAGAAGAAAACTTAATTTTGCTATACATAAATATGATCATTTTAATCAATCTATGTGACTCTTAACTTTTAGGTAGGAAAAAAAAACAACCCACCTAACTATGACATCTGTATATCCGGTTCTAACCACTGCAACAAACTTGAGCAGCATTCACTTTATAGTTACAGCTTTATTAATGGCTTTGCACCAATTCTATGAAACAAGGTTCTTAAAAATAAGATGTTTATAAATGTAATCTTCTCAGTCTTAACAAGGACAGCAAGTTCTACTTTAATGTCAAACTAGGTCAATCTGGTTATAACTAATTAGCACTACCGTAAGTTGTTAATCTTTTTCCTATAGCCAAATAGTACACAAAAAGCTGTGAATTTCTTCTATGTAAAAATAAACCAATGACGTAATTGCACACAATCACAGCTCCTAAAAAATGGAAGCAGATAGCAGTCCATCTCCTGCAAAGGATCATTTCCTACAATATGCTGTCTCTAGTTTGGTTTAGTTTTAAATGTCCCAAATAGCAGCATTTGCAAAAGTTTCCACTGTCCTATAGCCTACCAGGTATCTATTTCACCCATTCTTCTCGTTACATCCCACTTGTTAATCATCCCATATTATTTTTTGCCTATACTAGCTACTCCTGGAAGAATATTGTGCCAAAAAAATATCATGCCACTTTTGGTAATTTATTTCAAAATACCTGTCAGCAAGTATGTCAGTAACAATACAAACACACAAAAATTCCCCCAAGAGTAGAGTTTAATAAACCCCCAAAGCAATCCTATCCTGTTTCTGTGCCATCTCCCCAGAAGGGCCAGACACCCACAATCCCTCTTCCTCCAGCTGTGGTGGTGCCCCATTAAAATACTCCCTCACCAAAGCCAACTATTCCAGGTTCATCCCATTTAAAAAGGGCCCACTATCCTTTCCTAACAAGATGCCTAAAACTGAATAGGGCATATCCTGAGAACAAGAGTGCAAACCTCTAACATAATCCCACTGCACCAGTACACAGAGTGTCATGTAAAAGTGTAAGAAATTGAGTGCTAGCCAGTTGTAATCCTAGTGCACTGCATCCACACTAGGGGTGTGTCTAGACTACAGAGTTTTGTCGACAAAAGTGGACTTTTGTCGACAAAACTATACCTGCGTCTACACTACCACTGAGTTCTGTCGACATAACGTCGACAGAACTCAGCAGTTTTGTCGACGCTGGTAAACCTCATTTTACGAGGCATAACGCCTTCTGTTGACAGAGTTTCTGTCGACAGAAGGTGTTATTGCATGTAAAACGTCCTTTGCATCTACACTACCATGTCGACAAAGCAGCTTGCTTTGTCGACAGAACTGAATGTAGTGTAGACGCTCTTTGTCGACAGAAGTTTTGTCGACAGTATCTGTCGACAAAAGCCCTAGGGGTTTCTATTGTTCAATCTCACAGCTATACCAGAGCAAAACGATATACAATTAACTTAGACAAAACCTTAAATACCATTGGATTTTTTGGAACTTACTTTTGTCACAGGTAACATCTCCTTTTTCATTTTTTCATGTTGTGCATTCAAGATTACTTAAGTTAGTTTCCCACTTTTGTCTGTATAATATGTCCCTGCCTATGATGGGCGTCTCACAGCATTTGCAGAAAGAATTTAAAAATAAACTAGCAGAGACTTTGTAGCAGTATCAGTATCTAGAAGTGCATTTCTATTAGCTTGATTTAAAGTTAACAGTGTTTCTTTAAGAAGCAAGAGGTGTAGAGAAACCATATTATGTTCAAAAGGAATTTAAGCAAAAGCTTCACAAGGACATTTCTATTTTCACTAGAAAGTGACTGTCTACTCAGCAACCCACAGCAGACTTGCCTAGAGAGCTCACAAAAGATACATACTACTTACAAGTAACTGGCAGAAGAGCTGTTAACAGAATACGCTTTTCATCATACTTGAGCTACAGCAAGGGTGGACAACAGGCAGCTAGAGGGCTGGATCCGGCCCACCAAGATGCCGGATCTAATTTGAGGCCATCTCGCCAACCCCTTACTACAAAGCAGCTATGCAGTCTGGGCAGGGAGGAGAAAGCTTCACATGCTGTCCCCACCTCCCAGCAAAATCCCTCAGCTCCCAATGGCCAGTTTCGGGCTACCAGGAATGGAAAAGTTTTGCTGAAGGCAGAGGCCTCCGTCCCAGCTCCCATGCTGGAGCAGAGGCATGTGGAGAAGCCCACACACAGGCATGAACTCTGTCTCAGGTTCTTGAAGAGCTGCTGGCTGGGAGCCACCTAGGTAAGCACCTCCCATCCACAGCCCGCCCCTGGCACCCCACTCCCTCTTTCCCCCAAACTACCTGTCCCAGGTCACCACCCAAACGCTCTGTATCCCCTCTCCCCACCTCCTCCAGGTCAAAACTCCCTCCCAGACCTTGAACCCCTCTTATACGCCTCCACCAGGCCAGAATCCTTTCTTGCACATATATCACTCCCTGACCCTGCACCCCATTCCCCTGCCTCACATCACCCAAACCCTCTGCACCCCTCTTTCCCCCTTCTCCCAGTCTCTCAAACCTCCCCCCTCCCCACCCTTCCCCCAGGCCAGAATCCTCTCCTGCACCTATAACCCCACTTGGACTCTGCACCCCAATCTCCTGCCCCAGATCATAACCCCCTCCTTCACCCAAACTCCCTATAAGACCCCACACACCCTGCTGCACCCCAGTCCTCTATCCCAAGCTCTCTTCTACACCCCATCCACCACCCCAGACTCTGTGCCTCCTCTACAGAAGTATGGCCCTTGACCACTTGCCAAATTCTTGGAGGACCCCCCTCATTAACATTTATTGCCCACCCCTGAGCTAAGGGAATCACAACTCTTCCCCTGCATCAAGTTGCAGACAGGCACCCTAATGGTAATAGGCAGTGTATCTAAGAATTCATATACATAAAGATAATCATTCAGAACAAAGTTAATGAAACACCACCAAAATATGATGCTGTACAATTTGCCAAATTCTTGGAGGACCCCCCTCATTAACATTTATTGCCCACCCCTGAGCTAAGGGAATCACAACTCTTCCCCTGCATCAAGTTGCAGACAGGCACCCTAATGGTAATAGGCAGTGTATCTAAGAATTCATATACATAAAGATAATCATTCAGAACAAAGTTAATGAAACACCACCAAAATATGATGCTGTACAATTACTTGGGCTGAAATAGGCCGGGGGAGATCAGGGGAGGGGCAGCCAGCGGGAAGCAGAGCTGGTCCGGGGGCGGGGGGGAGGAAGTGGGCAGCAGGGCTGGGCGGGGGGAGATTGGGAGGAGGAGAACTGGCCAGCAGGAAGCAGGGCTGGCAGGGGGAGCGGGGCTGGCCGAGGGAGATTGGGAGGAGGAGAACCGGCCAGCAGGAAGCAGGGCTGGTGGGGGTTTGGGGGGGAAGCGAATCAGCCAGCGGGAAGCAGGACCTAGCAACGTTGGGTAACTCCAGCTAGTATTTTATACTTGCTTAAACTCACGTTTCTAAAAAAAACAAATAGACTTACCTAGTAGAAAATTGAATGAGTGCATTTTGAAGAGCCTGCCTGATTTCAAGAAGAAAGGATTCATCATCACTTAGTGTATAATACCAGTACTGGACATAGTCCCTCAGTGAAAACTGGATTACCTAGCATTTAGAGAGAAAAAAATACATCAAATAGCTTTTAGTGTTTGAAGATGCAACAGCTGAAGGTCACATGATAAAATGATGCTTTCATATCTTTAACATCACAGTGACTGAGTAACTGCTATACAGAACTAAAACTTCAACATTACCTATATTTAACTCACACAAAAAATCATAGAATGCTAGAACTGGAAAGGACCTTAAGAGATCATCAAGTCCAGTCTTCTAACCTCATGGCAGGACCAAGCATTGTCTAGATTATTCTTGATAGATGTCTATCCAAACTCCATTGATGGAGATTCTACAACCTTCCTATGCAATTTATTCCAGTATTTAACCACTCTGATAGTTAGGAAGCTTTTCCTAATGTCCAACCTAAACCTCTTTTGCTGCAATTTAAACCCATTGCTTCTTGTCCTATCGTCAGAGGCCAAGGAGAACAATTTTTCCTCCCTCCTCCTTGTAACATAACTGTAAACTGCCATCCTGTCCCCTCTCAGCTTCTCTTTTCTAAACTAAACAAGCCCAATTCTTTCAGTCTTCCCACAAAGGTCATGTTTTCTAGACCTTTAATCATTTGTGCTGCTCTTCTCTGGGTCTTCTCCAAATCTTTCTTGAAATGTAATGCCCAGAACTGGACACAATATGCCAACTGAGGCCTAATCAGTATAGAGTAGAAAGCAGAAGAATGACTTTTCGTGTCTTACACACAACACTCCTGTTAATGCAACCCAGACATGTTTGGTTGTTTTGCCACAGTGTCTCACTGTTGACTCATTTAGTTTGTGGTCCACTATGACCCCTAGATATCTTTTTGCAGTACTCCTTCCTAGACAGTCGCTTCCCATTCTGTATGTGTGAAATTGATTGTCCCTTCCTAAGTGGAGTACTTTGCATTTGTCCTTATTAAGCTTCATTCTATTCATCTTAGCCCATTTCTCTAGTTTGTCCAGATCATTTTGAATTATGACCCTACCCTCCAAAGCATATGCAACCCCTCCCAGCTTGGTATCATCTGCAAACTTAATAAGCATATTTTCTATACTATAATCTAAATTGTTGAAGATATTGAACAGAATTGATTCCAAAACAGACCTCCTGTGGAACTCCACTTATGCCCTTCCAGCATGATTGTGAACCATTAATAATTTCTATCTGAGAAGGGTGCATAACTGGCTGGAAAACCAACTTTACTGTAGCCCCATCTAGGTTGCATTTCCCTAGTTTACTGATAAGGAGGTCATGGGAGACCGTGTCAAATGCTTTACTAAAGTCTAGGTATACCACATCCACCACTTCTCCCTCATCCACAAGACTTGTTATCCTATCAGATTGGTTTGACATGATTTGTTCTTTACAAATCCATGCTGGCTGTTCCTATCACCTTATTATCTTCCAGATGTTTGCAGATGGATTCCTTAATTACATGATCCATTATTTTTCCTGGCATGGAAGTTAAATTGACTGGTCCGTAGTTTCCTGGTTGTTCTTATTTCCCTTTTAATAGATGGGCACTATATTTGCCCCTTTTGCAGTCTTCTGGTATCTCTCCCAACTTCATGATCCGCAAGATGCTGCGGAGTTCTCCCAGGGTACTAGCGAGCACTGGGTGTTAAATGGGCTGGTGTGTGCTTTAATGGTTTAGTTTCCTCACTCCCCGGCATTTACTGCACCACAATAGCCCCTTTTAAGGTCTGGCTACACTTTGTGCATTAGTTCTATGTGCCATACATCTATGTCAAAGCACTGCCCTCTGGCTTATCCACCCCCAGCTCCAGGATGCTCCTGTAGCCCTTACATCACTCCACCGGGGAGGCATCTTAGGATCCCACCCCCAGTTCCTGCCCTCTGGCACTGGTCAGCTTCTGCACTGACCAGCTTCTTTCCCTGCAGCCTGCAAACTCTCTTTGGGACATGCTACTATCGCCACCAGCCAGCTCAAATCCAGAACGCACACACTTGTCTTTTATGCTGACTGGCCTCTTCCCCCACAGCCTGCAGACCTTCCTCATACCACGCTACTATCACTGCCTCCCACCCCCTAGCCAAGACCCTCCACTTGCCACTCACACCTCTACCAGCTGCAGCCCCTTCTCATCCCCATTCCCCCCATCTCTCAATCATTCCAACAGCCCAAGGTCCTCCGCATGCATTGCTGCTGGCAGCCTTTCCTTCTGAACAGCCTGCTC